CTTCCTCTTAAGCACTCAGGGTTGTCTCAAATGATGAGATAGGTGGGATATAAATTTAATTTAATTAATAAGCAAACCAACAGTCATGCCAGGTCACTGCCCAACTGGCAACATTTGGATCTGAAACCTGCCAAACGAGGTAAACTTGTCAGTTAATGCTTCCCAACCACTTTGACCTCTGGTTCCTGCACGTTTACGGAATTCTTCCACTAATCCGCTTAGCACTTCTGGAGAAAAAAGACGAGAGTTGAATTTAAAACAACACTTAGAAAGGACGAGCGAAAGCATGGGTGGTACTGCGATTGCTTTAGTCCTTGGAAGCTTGGCTTTCAAAAATAATCTTCCCAGGCTTGTTTTCGAGATGAGGTTTGCCACCAAAGTATTCATTTCTGGAGCAAAAGAGCCCAGGATCTGGGCTTCAAATGGAAACCACGTGGAGAGAAAAGGAACTGGCCAAGACAATGCCAGCCCAGGGCCTCTGCAACTATAATGTTTGCTTTAATAGGCCAAAGGAAAACTTTCTCCTAGGTGGTACGTAAGTGAGGTCACTAGGAACTCCAACCCCTGAGACAAATTTTCACTCCTGTGGCAAAAATATTTTTCTTTCTTCTTAAATTTCCACAGGCCAGAAGGGTATTTGTTCAAACTCTTCTGTGTAGCAGGCGGGGGGAGGAGGAAGGGAGAGAAAATTGGTCTCAAAGGCTCCCTTTGTCATTTGAAAAATATCATGAGCAGCAGCAGCAGCAAAATCCTGGTTGAATAGATTAGATTAACAGATAGAGTTGGAAGGGACCTTGTAGGTCATCTAGTCCAACCCTCTACTCGAGCAGGAAACCCTCTTTGCTCTCTGCACATACGTTACAGAATTATTATTCTCACGGTCAGGAAATTTCTCCTTACTTCTAGGTTGGATCTCTCTTTGGTAAGTTTCCATCTGTTAATTCTTGTCCACACTCAAAATTCTCGGCATGTTATAGGCATGGAAAACATGTAATTGAAGGGTTTAAAGTAGGGGTGGGATTCTACCAGTTCACACCTATTCGCTAGAACCGGTTGTTACCATTCTAAGCAGTTCGGAGAACCGGTTGTTAGAAGAAATTACTGGGCTAATCCTGTAAGGAAGGCAGGAAGGGAACATTCTGGTGTTGCTTACAGAAACTGCCTCTCCGTTAACCCTTATTACATTCTTGGCAGGACTAGATTTCCTGTCTCAGATGCCGTGGAAGAATAAGCATTTCTGAGCTCTAAAAGGTCCTTCGAAGGTCCACTTTATGCAAACCAAAGACAAAACATCACACAAATCGATGGCTTTCTGTTGGCTTTGCCGTACAAATTGGTCCATTTTGATGGCGGTTTTGTGGGTGAGGATTTAAGATCTAGTTGCAGGCCCCTCTTGTCAATGGGCCCAGGCATCACACACACACACACACACACACACACACACACACGTGCCCCTTATAGCTTTGCAAGGGTGGGAGCATAAAACCCTTAAGAGATCCACCTCCCCATTCTCTTCATTGATATCCAGGAGTGACACCCCAACCAAGAAGGTCAACCAAAATCAACCTCTATTGTGACCGTAGCTTGTTCTTCTATTGTTCGGGACACACAAGCCCAGCTGAGCTGAAGGGAGAAGGGACGGGGTATCAGGAGGGGAGGGGGAAAGATTGGGAGGGGGAGAACAGCCTCAGGGCCTGATCCCAGCTGTAGCCTTCCAAGCGGTCTTTTGTCGCTGGCTATAAAAGGACAAAGAAAGAGCTTTTGTCTGCCATGGCGGGTGACCTGATTTCTTTTCTCTCCTCTTCCTTTTTGCTCAACCGGATGGCATTCATTCAGTCTTTGGCAATAGAAAATATCAAGCATATCCTCCCCCCCCCCCAATATCTCCTCTTCTCACCCCCTTCCCCGGAGCAGGCGCTCGGTGCTAAAAGAACGGTGCTTGCTTGCTTTTCTCGTGATAACTCAGAACTCTTGAGTTGGCTTTGTAGCTGCCAAAAAGGACTCACAACTCAAAGCAGGGAGCATCTCAAGGGCCACAGCTACACACTTTTCAACACAATGGTAGACAGCAACAAAAATGGCTCGAGGACCCCACTGTCCCTAGAGTCGTTTCCTAAGTTCTCGAAGCTTTTTGGAAGCTTTGGTCTTAAACCTCAAGAAACGGAATCCCGCCTGTCGTGGAAGGAGCTCAGAAACGGAAGCTATCTTCTGTCCAAGATATCTTGGAGGCCCCATCTGAAAAAGTTTGAGCTCTGGAGCTTTCAAGCAGAGTTGAGAAGCATCTAGATCTAAAACAGCAGAGAATAAAAGCTGGTCAGAACCTGTAATAATCTGCTAGATCAAGTTTGATCAGGTTTTATTCAGAATGCAACAGGCAGGCCACTTGGGAGAAGTGGGAGAAGCTTAAAGCTGAACATGTAATTCCATCTATCTCATCTAATCTTAATCTGGAACCCTTGAACCCAGCTGCCAATCTGGACCTAAGGAAAGCAAAGCAGAGATCTACTGGATTACAAAGTTAACAGAAAAGTGTGTGTGGGGGAAAACACTTTGATTTTGACTCTTGGCTGAATGTGTAATATTGGGAACTTCTTGCTCACTTTTCTGTCAATTCCTCTGCAATCGTGTCAATTACAAAGCCATGGGGAGGCAGGACAATGCCTGGTTTTTGTTCAGAAGCAACCAAGCCCTTAACTCTGAGACATGAATATACCTGAATTATGTACTGGCAGCCAGAACAACATGAGTCAGCTATTTGTGTTCCTTTTGCAACACTTGATACGTAAGTTGTATTGACTGCTTAATAAATCATAAATAAATAAGTGCAAGAAGAACAACTTTGCTTCACTGAAGGAGATGCTCAATGTTGAGAAAACGTTGTCAAACGTGAGAAATCAGGGAATCCAGGCAGTTCAAACGAATATAAGAATGGGCTGGACTTAGTTCTCTTGCGGGCACAAAGAGACTCAAAACTAATGACATGTCTGACCCCCCCCCTTTCAGGCTCAGCTCTTACACATCTGCGGGATTCTATCCATCCCTTTATCTACTTCTAAATGGATAAATGGAATAGCAAGAGGAAATTCACCTTGGCTCATCTCAGTTCTTGGTTCATTGTAACTCCTCACCCACACACCCCTCTGGTTTTTAAACCCCAACTCTCCAGATTGTTGACCGTGTATCTAGGTGAGAAATCAGAGTTAAAAATAGGCTTGGTGACACGGTTGGAGGATGTTTTAAAGGAGCAAAACAACTCTGCAGGACGAGACATTTATTTGCATATTTATTTATTTTTTTACAAGTGGGGCTGTTCTCTGGCATGAGGGATGTAGGACTTCAAGCTGGAGGAGCCAATTCTCCTGTGTACATTTGTGAGATTGTCCTCGATGACCTCACCACGCCCTTTTTGAATGCTGAGGGCCAGGCTTCTTGGGCAGAGACGGCCTCGCTCCGCATCTCTGCATCTTCTAACACGATGGCAACATGGAATGAACTGGAGCCACCAGATGTTCCTTCAAAGGAAATGCCAATTGGGGGGAGGGTTTCCCGCTGTCAATCAACGCCGTGACTCTAGGATGGAGAATCACGAACACGTGTGCCCAGAGCAGGGGTGGGTAGAGTTGCGGAGGCTGGTGTCACTGTCATTCATGCTTTTTCTTGCCTGGAGCTAATTGGCAGGTTTTTGACACAAGGAACAGGACTATTAGGAAGAAGACTCAACTCTCAGTAGCTGAGAGTTTGATTGACACGCAAAGATCCCAGATTCATATCCTTGGTATTTCCAGTTAAGAAGAGGAAACAGTGGAAACAAACTTTCTCCGGTATCTTGAGGAGCTGGCTCTGCATTTGACTTTGTAACCCTACAGATTTATCAATCCTGGCCACTGCCATCTAGTGGCTAAACTATAAAACTACATTATCCACCTGTCACAATAGGGTTGTTTTTTGCTTCCTGACCCTGGAGGTCAAAGTAATCTGAACAGGGAGGATAACTTTGTCCCTGTAGTGTTGGTGGCATCAGGGGCAACTTGCTTCCTCCTATGCTGGATGTGAAAATGAGCATGGAAAACGGTAGTGGGAGATAGAGGATGCTCAGATAAGGGATCGCATAGCCCAGAGCTGCGTAAGGGGCAGAGCGAGAAACACGAAGGAAATTCCCTTTCCACTTCTCTGGTTGTAAAAAAAAGGTGGATGGGGAATTGTAGACTTGCAAGACTGTCTTACCGGGAAGTAGAATTAGCTCATTTCTTGTGTTTCCTGTCTGGTTTAACCTAGGAAGACTGACAATTCAACAGAGCCATTACCCAACCAACCACTTTCGGCAACCGTGGTTGGTTAATGCTAGTACTGCCCCTGAAACCTGGCAGAAACTCAGAGGAGAATAGATAGAAGGGAAAGCTTGTTCAGGGAAACTTATCTGGGTGCAAAGTTCTTAAAGCAAATCTCCTCCAGGGCACATCTGCAGTAACTTTCTCAAAAGCGATGGCAACCTGGTGAGTCCTTTCTCAGCTTGTCTGTGACTCACTGCAACAGCCGGAAAAGGCGGCAGCTGGGCTTGGCCAGTTCTTGCAAAGCCTGAGAGATAAGCTCATTTGATGCTCACCAAAAGCTTGGTCTGCCTCCTACACATACACACACCGATAGACTACCCACAAACACCACACACAGACAAGCTAAAAGGTGTCCTTCCCCCCACCCGCCCACCCGAATGCATGTCCTAATACACAAATCTACATTTCCCTTCCTAGGAATGTTAGTACACGAGAAAGCTCCGCCAGCTCTTTGCAAATCGGAATGCAGACTAGAAAGCAGAATAACAAGAGTCAGAAGGGACCTTGGAGGTCCTCTAGTCCAACCCCTACAACAGGGCAGGACCCTTGTATACAATAAAAAAAAAAAGGCAACCCCATTCTCTTCTAGCATGGAAGATGTTACCCAAGTTTGGTCATGAAACATCTGCAAAAAAACAACCAAGAAAGCATCAAGGATCCCATAGTTCTCCTCCTCCTCCCCCCCACAAACCCTACTCCCTTCTGGCACTGATAATGTCACCTAGTAAGGTAAAGAAACATCTGCAAGAAAACCACCAAGTTCAGAAAGCGCCAAGGACCCCACAGTCATTGTTGCCCTCCTCCTCCTCCTCCTCTACAAACCCCACTCCCTTCTAGCATGGATGATGTTTCCTAGTCTGGTAATGGAAAGTCTGCAAGAAAACCCCAAGCTCAGGGAGCACCAACGACCTCATAACCTTTCTCCTTCTCTCTGCAAACCCTACTTCCTTCCACCACTACTGATGTTCCCTCGTAGGGTGGTGCAATGCCTGCAAGAGAACCGCCCAGCTCAGAGCGCACCACGGACCCCCAGATTCCAACCTCGAGCTATAAATATTCTCTTCTATCAGAAGGTTATAGGATTGGCTGGAATCTACCTGATTCTTAGAGGGGTGGAGGAGAAAGAGAAGGAGAGAGACAGACAGACAGACAGACAGACACAGGTGAAAATCTGGGTTCTCCCCAAAGCACACGAAAATAACCATCTTCATGAAGGTACCACTCACCTAACCACCCACCAGCCACCCTGCCACCTAGTTATTACGTCAAAGAAAGATCTGTATCCATGCCAAAAAAAAAAAACCACACACACACACACACACACACAGCTCATCAAGGAGAAGTCAGTGAGATGGTGTCTCCACAGCTAATTAGGCATAAACGAACCCGCCTGTCGGCTCCACGCTGCCGGTGGAAGGAGAGAGAGTTCTGCTGACAAGGGGAAAGAGATGTGGGTCCCTCCCTTTGCTGAATGCATGCAAATCGCTGGAATGAGTGGGGTTCCACCCCGCCCGCCCACCCCGTTTGTGTTTTCGAAGGGTGAAAGTCTAGACGTGCGTGTCTTTGCTTTCGGGTGGATCGAAGAACCTCTCTGGGAAGCAGTGGGAGGTCAGAAGACGATGCCACCCACAGGTGCCCGTCCCACCCTCTTCCACCGACCCAAAAAGGGCCCCCGCACAACGCAGCGGCCATTTTTACACAAAGCCCTTGGCTCCCCTGTCCTTCCCAGTGGCAAGAATAACCCAGCTCAGCCCAGGGACAGCTGGCAGTAGCATGTCACACCGCGGTGCCCGGATGAGATTACTCATCGTTTTCCAAAGCCTCTTAATTGGGATTTACACCAAGGCGGATTACGGACTCGATGCTGCAGACGTTTGTTTTGGAGGAGTAGAATTCCTTGCCTTCTTTTTAAACAAAAAAACAGGAAGATGCAAATTGAGGGCGATGAATCCATCATGAAGCAGGTTGTTGATAGATCCTTCTTCCTGAGCAGAAAGCGAAGCGTTGGTTTACCGTGCTCCGTTTTCCAAGAAAAACCCAAATTTAGGTCATGTTTGATATATTGCGTCTTCCTTCTGGAGATCTGGATTTCGGGCCTTTATGTGTATTTATTAATGGCACCCGTCTAATAATTTCTATTGATAGATTAGCAACAGTTCAGTAAAAGTGATATATGGGGTATGTATACCTATCTTCAGGCCCCACCAACAGTTTACGATATAAAGAACATTAAATGTTCAAAACGCTTGGCATTTTTTTTCTTTTAAAACGCCTCCTTATTCATTTGAACTGTGATTTTTTAATGTTTCCTGATTTTCCGTGTCAAAGTATATAGATGCTTAGAGAAAAACTTTGAAAGCATACACACACAACATACGCTTACGTATCTTGATCTGCTTCAATGTACAACTGCATCAAGATCTTCTAGGTGTGGTGATTTAGCAAATGTAGATACAATATTATACCCTGATTATATCCATCCATCCATGCATCCATCCATCTATCTATCTATCTATCTATCTATCTATCTATCTATCATCTATCTATCTATCTATCTATCTATCTATCTATCTATCACCTATCTATCTAATTTATTCTATCTAACATCTATCTGTCTGTCCATCCATCCATCTCTATCTACTTATCTATTATCTATCATCTATCGTCTGTTTGTCCATCCATCCATCCATCCATCCATCCATCCTCCATTCTCATTCTCTCTCTCTCTCTCTCTTTCTTTCTTTCTCTCTCCCTCCCTCCCTCTCTTCTCCATCCTTGTGCCATTTTTTTTCCCCTTGTCCAACCCATCATCGTTCTGGAAGTTTGGGGTCCTCATTGCCATCCTTCCTGTAAATTCTGGCAGCCTTATCCCAACCTCTTTGAAAGGCAGGAAGGTAGAGAAGACGATTGTCAAGCATAGGAAATCAGGAGTCCAGGCAGTTCAAAGGATTATAGTCTTATTGTCTGCTAACGCTCTTTAGAAGAATCTGAACTACTAACGGTCAAAGCAAATAGGTGGTAGATAAGAGTCAACGGAATTCAAGGCGGGCTGGACTTAGAGCTCTGTGAGTGCAAAGAGACTCCAGACTAGTGGCATGTCTGACCCCTCCCTTGGGCTCAGCCTGGTCATCTCCTATGATGGTTTTTCCTTCACATCTTCTCCTTCCTCTGCAAGTCCCATGGAATCACCCCAAAACCAAGCCACGGGCTGGGTTGAAAGAGCTGATTTCTGCCTTCTGAACATGTCCTCTTTTGTCTCCTCCTCCTCCTCCCCCTCCCCCTCCTCCTCCTCCTCCTCCTCCCCCTCCCCAAAGGCTCAAAGCATGAGTGAAGTCTTTGGTTTTTGCCAAGAGTGAGTGTGAGAAGCCTCAAGGGCCTTCTAATCAGGAGAAATCATCTGAGTTGCCTACAAGAGATGGTTAACACCTTGTGTCTTTTTT